TGAGTGACTCTGCTGAGACAAACAACAAATAAACAGAAAAACAATACTCAGCGTGTAAAATCCCCGTTATTTATCCGCCTGTCTGCAGGTTGAAGCCCGAGCTGATTCCTGTACACGCACCTCAATGCATAATAAAACAGCTGCAATAATAAGAAGGAAGAATAATAAATAAAATTCACCAAAAACAAGTCTTTGGCTCAAATCAGATTCTGTCAAAAACAAAAAAAATCTGCTGTGTTCGGTCCAACCGTGAAGCCATGAACGACTCAGCTGTGACCAACAGTAAATTAATAAAAATCTAAATATTCAGCAGGTAGAATTGGCGCCGTTTTATTGAACATAATGAATAATAAACGAGCCACAGAAGAAAAACAGCTGCTCGACCTCCACGGAAGTCAAAGGAAGAAAAAAAAACATGTTATCTGTTAATTAGATCTCAGGTTGTGGATTAACGATGTGGGAATTATTAATCTTATTAGTTGGAGCAGGTTTAACTGGACGTTAACACTGAGCTCAGAATCAGTGACGACGTCGTGCTGAACAGGGATGAAGTCGTCAGAGCATCACCATCTTCTGGCTTCAGTCTAAACTGAAGAAACAGAAAAACCCCAGAAGGAAACGTTTTCAAGGAACAAAAAGAGCTTCATGTTGAGAACGTGTGAAACCAGCTGCAGCTTCCAAACTCACAAATGAACTTTTTATATCTTTTAAAGCCCACTGGCCATGTTTTCATTTTATTTCTCTGCAGCTCGCCGGTGTTCAGGTGTTCTGGAGGATCCCATAGATTCTCTCATCAATCTCTGCTGCTGCTGCTGGTTTCACGAAGAGGAAAGTTCTTCACCGACAGACTCCAGGATCGGTTCATTATTCCTCAGAGCAGGAGGACCCGACCCGAACCGGTCCAAGCCGACAAAGTTTAACAAAAGAACGACAAGCAGAGACAAACGACTATAAAGACTCACAGAAAACACCAGAACTCGACCACACGGACACACAAAGTGATGCAGGTTCAGAGCAAACGGAGACAAAACCTCGTCCTGGACGCAAAAGGNGTTAGCGGCTCTGTCAGTCTCTATTGGATTCAGGGAAAGTTTCCACTCCAGCAGCCAGCAGCCTGATTGTGTTTTGGTCCTAAAAGCCTTTTCTCTGCTGCTCACTTTCACAACGCTGAGATGTGTAAACTGAGCAGCCGAAGCCGGAGAGAACCGAGACGTTTACAACAGACTGGTTAGATCTCTGCTGAGCTGAGGGCTGCTCCTCTGGAGAGCACGACTTCAGCGTGGAGAGTAAAGCTTTGAGCTACTTTAGATGAAATGTAAACCCATTTTGGACAAATTTACTTCATTTAGGACACATTTGGAGCTGTTTTGGAAAAGTTCATGTCATTTTTGTTAAAACCAGAGTAATCCTGGGCAGGTTTTAAGTGATTTTATGCCAATTTAAAGTCACGCTGATCGAGCTTTTGTCACTTTAGAGAAACCTAAAATCCTTTTGTACCAGTTTTTTGTCTTTTTGGACAAATTTATGGCGGCAAGAAAGCAGAAAATATTCCCATCAAAGAAGCTGCAATTACAGAATTTAGACTTTTTTAAAATTTTAAATCCATCAATCGGATCAGCAGATGATCAAAAAAGCTGCAGATGAGTTTCCGAGCTGCCGACTAATCGATGAACGGCTGCGTCTGTATCTGCTGTTGACTGCTCTGGAAGCTGCTTTGTGTCGGCAGGACGGTTGTCATCAGCTCTTTATCTGATCTTTGTCTCCGTTTAACTCGTCCTCGGTCCGAACACGTTCACTGGGATCAGCAGACGAACTGAAACAAAGCTCCTGCACCATGAACATGAAAACCCTCCCGTCCTCCTGCAGCAGAGCTTCACCACCTCTTCACCCGGCAGACGGCAAACATGAAGCTGAACCGGCACGTATCTCACCACAGCAAAATAAATGACTTTTCCTCATTTGTGTCAAGCGGTTTTCCATAATGCCATTTTAATTAAAGACTAATCTTCAGAATTAATCTTTCTTTTTTTAAAATAAAAACCACAATCTCAGGGGCATCTCCTGTACGAGAAATAAAAAATAAAACAAGGTGTTGATGGCGAGGAAACAATGCGACGGTAATCTGCGACTCCGGAGCAGATAAAAGCTGCCAATCACCAACACGGGATTCTAATGTAATTAATGAGCAGAGCTGATAAAACCACGAGGCGGTGCGGCCAAAATAAACCCCGGGCTTGTTATTGTGGCAATAAATTAAGAGTGACATTTGGGAAACCTGCGGTGAAACAAGCTGAAGCGCGAACCTGAGCGAGGTAACCGAGTGGCGAGTGCAGTTAATTAACAGTTAAGCTTCCTCGGTGGACTCGCTGAACTGCAGGCTGACCAAGCTGAACTAAAATCAATTATTTCTGATTCTCCTGAGATACCGATCCGATAATGGCGACGGCGCAGGAGCCGAGAGGAGCCGAGAGGAGCCCTGGAGGTCACGCAAAGTGTGTTCTGCTCCTCTATCAGCCTAAAGTTGGTTAATGGAAACACAGAAGATCAGAATGAAGGAGAAATTAACGCTCCGAACCCCGAAACCTGACTGAAAGGAAAGAAAAATCACTAAAATGACACCGATTTGTCAGCCAGAAACGGTTAAAACAGGAAGATTCAGCTTTATGGTTCACCGATAATCTGTAATGTGTCAGAAAACGAAACCAAACGTGAGCTTAAAATCAGGTGATTTCATCAAAAATCACTTGATTCTACAGTCGTCCTCAGATGTATTCAAAACCTTCCATCAACGAAAAGGCAAAATTCACAAAAGTCACTCAAACAAATAGAAACTGGAAAAACTAATAATAAATAAAAATTTGGTAAATTATAATTTAGTGTAATGAGACGTTGCTTTTGAATTGTGGTTGAAAAAAATAATTTAAAAAAAAGAAAAAACACACACATAAAGAAAAAAACAAAACTGGACTAAATGTTAGTTTACAGGTCCCATCATGCTTGTTTGATTAATTTTTATTTTTTAATGTATTTTTTTATATATTTCTGTTGAACCACAATTCAAAAGCAATGTAATGATTTTCATTCAATTTTTATTTATTATTAATTTTGTCAATTTCAACATATTTCACTGACTAATTCTGTAAAACACAAAGTTCTGCAGTGATTTCACAGAGCAGAGAGGACGGACATGCCATTAATTAAAACTGTAAACAGCTAAGAAAAAAAAAGGCTTAAAGTTTAATTACAATTAAACAACTACAAAGAGATAATGCTGGTGATGATTGATCAGGACTTTTATTCTGGAGCAGCACCTCTAGCATCCTGCCACTAATCCTGACCTCCTTTGACAAAAATCTGGACCTCAAGTTCTTCTCCTCAGTATGTGAAGTGCTTTGAGTCGACACGTGTTATGACCGGCTGCTGTATGAATCAAAGTGAACAGAGCTGCCGATAAAGATGCATAACGTCCTCATCAGTTCTGCAGATGTTACACAGCTGCTCCTGTTGTGCAAGTAAACACCAGATTGTAATGTTCAGCCTGTGTGAGACGTTCCT